ATATTGAGGCAAATGAAACTTTGGTATAATTGTGTGGAATTTTATCACTAAATGGTAGTAAAGCGGGTTTCCCGCCGTGCATAGAAATGTTAAAAAAGACTGGGAAGATACTGTGGACGATCAGAAAGTGCGGCAATCATTTCTGTATGGTGAATAAATTCAAGTTTATTGTGTGTTTTTGTATTATTCAATACATTTGGTTAAAAAATATTTGTATGCCGAGAAAAAACACACACTTTTTTCACAATTTTAAAAGGCAATATTTGGTTATTGGATAAGTCTTCATCATAAAACAATAAGAATTTGGTTACGAAAAGACAAAAAAGATCTAAAGCGGTTTTTCGCCACCGTATTATTTTTTATTTTAAAAATCGGCAAAATGCCCCAAAACGTTATTTTTCTATACAATAAAACAAGTAAATGGTAGTGAAGCGGTTTTTCCCGCCAGCCAAAATGCTTGCTCAAAAGTGCATTTCAATAAAAATTGTTGAAAATATCATGGAGACAATGACTGTTATCAGCCCAATACGTTATTAAGAAGACATGGTGTCAAAGTGAAAGTTGATGTGTTGTTTATCTTAAATGTGTTTTTATACCTTTATTCACTAATTATAAAGAAATGATTATCAACAACTTTCTTACTATTTGATGGATTATATTGTTCATTTTATTACAGTAAATATATGCAACATTTTGGGATTTAAGCACATACTTTTATAAAGAAGAATAAAATAACTATTTACATTAATAAATTTATTATAATTTATACTATAACTTGTTTCAAAAATTGATTGAATGGTAAGTCTGTAAAGTAATGAAAACTACTCAACACTTGTATAGTTCAAAAGAGATACACAACGACAACCACAGCTTCGATACGTTGTGTCAAATGAATCAATTCATGTTCATTCTATTCGGATTTGAGCATAAGTAAAATGATAATTATGGTTTTTATTATTATTTAATAGTAAATAAACTATTTTTATTCGTAAATTTTAGGTCCAGATATGGTTAACTTATAATAATAAATAGTTAATTTATTATTTAATACAATTCCATTTTTATCTTTCGCAATGTCATTAATTATAATATAAATCATAGATTGACAATAGATTAAACATTTA